CAATATCACCATTTTTACTACAACTTCACCTTACTTTTTTTACTACTATTAGTTTTACTCTCTATGTTTTTAAAACTTTATCCAAATACTTTCTTATATTTTGAACAATTTGATAAACCCATTAGATTTCAAGATGATTAGGAAGTATCATATAGTTTTTTTATCCGATTTTAACTAAGTTCTTTCAATTTTCGGGGAATTCATTGATTCTTTTAAAATTATCATTTCTAATTTTGAAGTTATATGAAAAGGATTAATTGATGATACCTTCAAAATTTTAAATTTTCTTAGAAAAATAATTAGTTTTGTTATCAATAAAGTCTAGAAAATAGTATGAATTCTTTTTTATAAAAAAATCACTGAAATAAAGAATTTGATAGGAGAAGAAGAAGAAAAAGAAAATAAAAAAATGGGAGAGGGGCTCAACTTGACGTAGGAGTGGGGTGAGGGTGGGAGGAGAAGAAAAAGAAAGAAAAATGGAGGGATGGATCTCACTTGAAAGTGGGGTGGATGATGAGTAAAAAAGTAAGAGAGAGAGAAATAAAGAAAAAATTTAAAATGAAAAAAAATTATATTTTAATTAAATTAACACGTGTCATGTAATGATTGGTGTATGAACACACTTGCTTCTTAAAATATGAGGCTGATTGAAAAGTGATATAATAATATCTGTTCAAAATTATTTAATGGAATAATAGAACGGTTGCAAAGTTAATATGTCTTTTTTAAAAGAACAACTTTCACATATAGCAAACACAAAATTCATATTTGAATGTTATAGCAAAATTTGCATAATTGCGCTCCATAGCAAACATAAATATATATATTTCGCTATACATATACAAAAAAAAAGCAGTTGTATAATCTTCTTTGGTATACATATACAAAAAGATCAATTGTATAAAGTGAGAGAAGCGAGTGAGCGAGCGAGATCTGGGAGAGGGGAGAGAGGGGAACGAAAATATATGTATATATACAATTTTCACGCATTTTATACATTTGCGTTTTTGTATAAAGTGTGAGAGGCGAGTGAGAGAGTAAGATCTGGGAGAGTGGCAAGCAAGATCAGGGAGAGGGGAGAGAGGGGAACGGAAATATATGTATATATACAATTTTCTCTCGCTTTATACAAACACAAACACATTTTATACAATTTTCGTTTTTTGTATAAAGTGAGAGAGCGAGATCTGAGAGAGTGGCGAGCGAGATCTGGGAGAGGGGAGAGAGGAGAACGAAAATATATGTATATATACAATTTTCTTTCGCTTTATACAAACATAAACACACTTTATACACTTGCGTTTGTATAAAAAACGAGAGAGGCGAGGAAGAGAACGAGAGTAGAGAGCGAGATTCACCAGGAGAGAGGTGAAATAACAACAATTTGCTATGAGGTACAATTAAATTAAATTATATTTATAGCATTTCATTTAAATTAATAGTTTGTTATTATATACAATTTTTCCTTTTTAAAATTTGAGACAACTGTAATAGTGACTTTAAGGTGGGGGATAATAATACGGTTGCACGATATTATTTGATGAATGCGTTGTACCTTTGCACTTTGAACACGTGGCAGAATAAGGGGCGTTGAAGAAAAGTGACAAATTGACAAGCGGTTGATAGCTAGACTACCAAGTTGGCATGCTTATTTACTTGGTCTGCATGTAAATAAAATATCCTTTTGGGAATGTAAAATTATAATATGTAGGAACTTTCTCCCATTATAATAAATTTAATTATGCTTTATAGTTATAGTTTGCATATTTACGAATTATAGTTACAGTTTAAGCTGTTTCGTTTGTATAATTCATGGATTTGTATAATTTGCAGGTTTGTATAATTTGCGGGTACATTTGTATAAATCAGTTATTTTTGTACAAACTCGAAATAATGAATTTATACAATTACAAACATCAGAAGTGTAAACAGTTATACAAATTTCGAATTATACAAAAGTTATACAAATTCCGAATTATACAAAACAAAAAAGTTGAGCCGCGTAATTATAGCTAAAAGTAGATCGCGAATTATAATTAAAGTAAACTATAGTTATGTTAACTAATTAGCTAGTATATATTTGCTTATACACATAATTTTTCCTAATATATACTATGTAAATAAAGAATATTCCAATGAAATATTCTCTCTTCCCCCTTCATCCTTTTATAATTTTTTTATTTTACATTTGTAAGAGCTTTTTTTTTTTTTTTTTTTACTTCATGGCTCAAAATTCACAATCGTAGAGTTGAAGATGGAGAATGTTTATTCCATATGTAACTAATTTGGATAATGTCATTATTAATTTTGTTGCGAAGTGATTAGTTTAAGTAATACCTATTTACGTAATAACATTAAAGACAAATTTGATTTAATTGACAAAAAATTAAGTTATATTTTAACCCACTTTTTTTGTTTTAATTTATTTGTCTTATTTTTAATTTTAATTTTAATTTTACACATATTATATTTGAGATCACAAAATTAATTTTACAAAAAAAATTCAAAATTTTATTTTCTTATACCCAAAATCAGACGGATTATTTTTACCCTTTTTTGTAAAAGAAAATACTGAAAATGATTATTGTCACATTTGGGTTTGTAACCTAACAAATATATACATAGAGCATATGACAAAAAAAAAAAAGGCCAAAGTCATCTGTAGCCACTCAAAGTTGTCCTCATTATTCATTTAGACACCTCAACTACACCTAGTACCTATTGAACACCTCTACCACCCCAGATTTGAACCATCTAAGCATTTTTTGCCTACATGGCAAATCGTTTGTGATTCACGCAAATCAGGCGCGTGAATTGTTTTTTCTCCCATTTTTTACCCTGCATTTAAGACATCCAACGTTAAAATCTTCTTCTTCCCCCAAATACATTTTAGAACCCTAATCCCCAATTCTCTCTTCTTCCTCTAAATATCCAACATTTCTCTCTTCTAAATCAGTTGTGTTTTATCAAATGTCACAAAGTTCAGTGAATATCGAGGAAGTCGATGTATGTAAGTGTGGTTATTATTGTCGACTGAAAACTTCGAGGACTCCATTGAACCCAGGTCGTCGATTTTTTGGATGCAAAGCATCAAAGGTTTGTAGTTATTTGAACAAAGGCTACTGTTATTGTATTATTTGAAAAATCAACATTTTTGTATATTTATTACTATTATGTGGTTTGTAGGAAAATGGTGGATGTGGCTATTTTAGATGGATTGATCCGTCACTTGAAAATGTTGATGAATCATCCTTAATGAATAGATTCATAGATGGTCATAATCCGATTGATCGACTAAAGAGAAAAGTGAAAGAGCTTGAAGAAGAAAGGGATTCTTTGAAATTTCAATTGAATGAAAATGAAGAGAAGATGATGGTATTGAACAAGAAGCTCAAGGAAGTTAAACTCCAAAGGGATTGGGAAAATGTCAAATTTAACCGAGTTGTGATTGTTTTTCTTTGTCTGCTAACTATAAAATGGTTCTTTAATATTGTGTAGTTCAAAATTGTAGTACTTAATTGTTTAGTTTTGCAGTAGTTAGGATGCTATTTCACGTAATTAGTGTTGTACTTTATTGGTCTGTTAAGTTCATATTTTATATCAAATTGGAAGTTTGAATGTGAATTGATCAGTGTCTCTTTTGTAACTTCTAGTGTGAATTGATCAGTTTCTCCTTTATAACTTGCCTCTGTTTTATAACTTGCCTATAACTTGCCTCTGTTTGTTAACTTGCCCTGTGTTCTGAAATTAGTTCTGGGATCGACTTGCCCTGTGTAATTGTTGTTCAAAAACTGAGCTAATAACACAAATGCATGGCTGGAAAATACATAACACAAAGTCATGGTTGAAAAATACATAACACAAATGCATTGAGAGGTAATAAACAACCATTGTCTTGCATGGTTCAAAAATACATAGTCTTGCTAACACAAAGGCATGGTTCAAAAATACATCACACGAGTGTTCAAAATAAACTAAAGAGTAGCTTGTTGAAGACCCTTTTAACATGGGCCAAAATCATAACAACTTTCTAAATGAACTACTTTTAGTTTTTCCTGTTTGCTTTCATTTGTTGCAACTGTGAGGTGCTGACTGCATCTTTTCCCTTCCATTTTAGGCCACGAGGTTTAAAGCCAATGTCTATATTGGTTGGTGAAGCACTCTTCAATTTTGTTGGCCCATGTAGAATCTTCTCACTTGATGTACCAGGCTGTAATATAAGAAAGAAAGTGTAAGATAAGGTAAGATCATAATATAGCTATCAGAATATACACCAAAACAGAGTAAACATACATTAAATACTTGGGCTCCAGTTGTAGGATTAGAGTAAACACCAAAACCAGTTGCAGGCCTTCTGTTACCTCCAGTAGCAGCAGCAAATGAGGCAGAATTGTACGGTCTTTTGTGACCTGATAAAGGTGGCAATTGACTAGAAGAACTATCACTTTCAGTAACAATTGGGGTCCCTCTTACATTAGCTTTTTTTCTTCCCAATCCTCTTCCAGTCCCAACTTGAACCCTATTTTGAGGACGTCTTGGCACAGATTCTGTGTCAGCATAAATAGAACTTGGTTGACTTGATTGTGTAGTTGCATATGTGGTTCTGAAAGTAGAATGCGATGGACCTCCCATTGTAGACTATATAGCATAAATAAGGATATATGAATAACTTGTAGATCAATCAGAAAATGTAAATGAATTATTAAATCTAATCTTACTGTTGTTTGAGTAGTTCTTGGCACAGCAGTGGTATCAGCACAAACAAAACTTTGTTGACTTGATTGTGTTCTAACCTATTGAACAAAAATAAGGAGATATGAATAACTTAGACAATGAAAATTAACGCAAATGAATATGTAAATCAAATCTTACTCCTGTTTGAGAATAACTTTGTTGGCTTGAATTTCCTTGACTTGTAGGTTGAGAAGTGCTCCCCCTCGTATACTATGTCACCACAAAATAAAATATATGATTATAATATATATAAACTTTTAAGCAATTTACAAATGTGAATATGAAGTATTACTTACTCTTGCACACACAGCTTTGTTATGACCAGTTTTCTTGCATATGGTACATGTCATCTTTACTCCTTTTCTTGAAAGTTTCCCCCATTTTTTTGGCTCACCCTTACTCTTTCTTCTCTTCTTGCCAGGTCTGCCTGGCATTTTTCTTGGTTTTGGAGGCTCTATTGATGGATTTGTAGTTTTAGGCCACATCCTCATATTGGGAATAGGTTGGATAAAATGGATGTAAGCCTTGAGAAATGTTTCCTTCTTATACCAGTGCTCTACATGTTGATCAGGATCTTGATTCAAGTAATAATAAGCACAAATAGCATGAGGGCAAGGAATACCTCTCAACATCCACAACCTACAGTCACAATGTTTCTTCTCCAAGTCAACAACAAATGAATATTCCCCCTCACTAATCTCAAAACCATTCAACCCATTCCATTGAACATTACAATTATTTGAATACTCCTTGTTTCTTTCTAGTATTGCCCTTGCCATAGGTGCAATGTCTGATATCCATGTTTCAGCAAATTTGATCATGTCTATATGTCTGTTCATCATTTTATGCCTAATATCCTCTAACATGGTAATAATTGATTTATGTCTAGCAGCTAAGATCCAAGAATTGAAAGTCTCACACATGTTATTTTCTACAACATCACACTTGGAGTGAGTTTGGAAAAAGGCCCTAGACCAATTTCTGGGATCATAATGTAGCAAGTCCTCTGTTATTTCCTTCTTACCTAGCTTGGACATTGCATGAACTTCTTCTCCAAACTTGACTTCAAAGGAGGCCTTTGAGCATCTCCAAAACTGTTTCCTTCTTTCTTCTCCTTTCCAGTTCACATGCCAGTTACTCCATATATGTCTAGCACACATCCTTTTCTCAGCATTTGGTAACAACTCTGACAAGACAGGAATAAGTCCCTAACAAAAAATATGTACAAAATAAGTAATTGAAGAAGTAAAGATAAAATTAAAACTAAAATATAAAAAATTGTATAATCAATACCTTTTGCATATCTGACATTACAGTCAAACCTTCACCAGTTCCCAAGTTTAGATCAGCAATTAAATACCTTATGAACCAGCTCCAACTATGTTTTGTTTCTGTATCCACAACTGCCCAGGCAATGGGATACATTTGATTGTTCCCATTCTTTCCAACAGCAACTAATAGCTCACATTTACAAGCTCCCTTAAGAAAACAACCATCAAATCCAATTATATTCCTACACCCCTCCAACCATCCTTGCTTAAATGCATGAAAGCACACATAAAAATACACAAAAAGGTTCTTTCCTGGTTCAGTTTCCTTATCAATTTTTACCCAACAAGAGCTTCCAGGATTGGTTTGTTTGATCATATCTGCATAGTCACACAATCTGGCAAATTCAACTTTCCAATCACCCATGTTTTCCTTCATAATCCTCTGTTTAGCCCTGTAACAAAGAGTCTTACCAACATAAAGACCCAATGTCTTTCTAACCAAATCTTGAATTTCCCAAATCCTTATGTATGGTTGAGATACAATTCTGTCCTTAAACTTTCTAGCAATTAACTTTGAATTACATAACTTGTTCCTGTTTAATGGAATACACTTATGAACAGGATGATAGTTCTTCACAATGAAATCACCTGAGTCCCTGTGAATGGAAGCATATAACAACCACTTACAGTTAGCATTTTTGCACTTCACCCTCACTCTATGTTTTTCATTAGGTCTTAACTTTATCTGCCTCCTGTACTCTACAGCATAATCTGCCACTGCTTTCCTGAACTGATTTGCACCCTCAAAGACCATTCCAAGCTCAAATATTGAAACTTCACAATCTTCATCATACCTAACTTTTTTGCTTCTCCTTCTAGTAGGTATATCTACTCCCCTAACAACATCCACATCTAGTTGTTCATCACTATCATCACTCCAACAGTCTGAGCTATCAATCTAATCCTCATCTCCACCTAATTTTCCTGCATATTTGTCAGTTTTATTTTTTCCAATATCCTCAAAGCCTCTATCTATACCACCAGCCTCTCCAACTGGTATTTCTTCAAATTCAGTAGCCTTTTTTCTCTGTTTTTTGTTTCTTCTTTCTTGTCTAAAAGCTCTCAACTCCTCATCAATATCTGAACCATCTTCTGAAGGTATATCTAGATCTGAATCACTACTCAAGAAATCAGATTCACCTTCTCCACCTAGGTTATCATCCACACCATCTCTACCTAGGTTATCATCCACACCCTCTTCACCAATGTTAACATCAACACCCTCACCACCAAGGTCAACAGCCTCACCTTCTCCACTTAGGTCAACAGCCTCACCTTCTCCACCTAAGTTAACAGCCTCACCCTCTTCACCAAGGTCAACATCAACACATTCACCAAGGTCAACATCAACACCTTCACCACCAACATTAGTTAGATAGCCTCTAGGTCCCTCAGTGTCAAGTAAGGGTTCATCTAATACATGACAGACAAATACTTCAAAAGTGTCCTCATGTTTTAAGTCTTTAATTAGGTGTAGGAGATGTTGGTCAGTTGTAATTAGGACCCATTTTTTATTCAATAAATCCTTCACATAAAAGCCTCCAACAGTTTCATACCCTAATTCTTTAGTATAATACAGTAGTTCCAAAATGGAAAAGTGGTCCTTAATAATATACCTGAGTGCAGACACACAGTTTCCAACATAAGTAGGGACAGATATCTCGGATAAGATTCCACCGTGGTAAATCTTTGTAAATATAACGCTTTCCTCCATGGTCAATTGTTAGCCCTACAAAATATCAAACAAACCCTAGCTTAAGATAACGGAATATACTCATATATCCCATACAACAACTAAAAAACAAAGTTTTAAAGCATATTTTCTGGGTAATAGTAAAGAATGGACAGAATATTCGCAAAAATCACAAACCCTATATTTTTACAAAACCCTAGCTTTTTGGAATTCATTTAACAAAGCATGTAAAAATCATTAACAATCCTAACTTACACAAGGAAATCTTCAAGATTGTAACACGAACAAGACGAATCCAACTTCAATCTGGAGGAAATCGCGAAGATGGAGAGCTTCAATTTGGAAAAAATCGCGAAGAGAGAGAGAGAGAAGTGTTCTGTCAATTTTAACGATTTAGGAATCTTCCCCAATTAAGACATTTACAAATACACGTCGGATACACGTGGTAGTTGTTAAATGGTTATTCTATACACGTCGGATACACGTGGGAGCTTAAATACACGCGCCTTGGCCGTTTATGAAAAGTGATAAAAAAATGCTTAGATGGTTCAAATCTGGGGTGGTAGAGGTGTTCAATAGGTACTAGGTGTAGTTGAGGTGTCTAAATGAATAATGAGGACAACTTTGAGTGGCTACATATGACTTTGGCCAAAAAAAAACTCTACTTAAATAAACCAGCTTATCTGTTCTCTTTCATCTTCACTCACTTTGGCGTTTCTGTAACCCCCGGCGGCCGGCCGTAGACGGCGGAGGAAGATAAAAGATGGATCTAGAAAGGTTAGGTGGGCTGTCGATGCATATAATCTTATCGAAATTGACGCCTCAAGATGCTGCATCTGTAGCTTGTGTTAGCAAAAGGTTTAGGAATTGGAGCTCTGATGATTTGCTATGGTCCAAATTCTGTGCTGATGATCTTGACTTATCTTCTCCAATTGACCCACTTGGAAATCCCTTGCCGTCTTTCAAGGTATAGATAGCTGCTTAATTTATGCATTTAACTGAGGTTTTAGTCGAAAGTACTCTTTTTTCGTCCTAAAAAGAATGAGGGTCGAAAAATGTGATTTTTGGAATGGGAATGTAGACATTTCTTAAATTTCTTTCTTTGAATTTGAAATTAGGAACTTTTTTTATTTTATAACTGTGGTGTTCTGCCCATGGCAGAGCAAAATCTGAAGGCGTAAGTATACGAACTAGCCGAAGAAGCTTAGACACCTACTATATATACAAAAAGAAAATAAAAAATTTAGTTATAAATAATATGATTTTCCGCCAAAGGGGGGTTCGGATGAACCCCTGACCCTTGGGCCTAGGCTGGCTCTGCCCCCTGGTTTGGGCCATTTTGCTTGCCTCGACTAATTACAGAGGATACCTACCACTTTCACCTCCCACTACCAACAGGTACTGCCAGCTAACTCTCTTCACCAAGGCTAGAAGAGATAGAAGAAATCACCTAGTGTTTTGTCTGTGTTAGGATTTGAACTAAGACCTCATGACGCTCAACCCACTTCATTGACCAGACCTCATGACGCTCAACCCTTGGGTTCTTTTTTAGAACTAGAAATATAAAGGAAATTTGGGAAAATGTGATAATTTATAAACTGTTTGACTCATCAGATGGTGATAGAGTTGTATATGCAGGGTGTAAAGAATTGCAAGTGATTGTAGCATTCTTGAGCTAAAAATATGCTTGTACTAGAGTAGCTTTTATTAACAAACAAACCCAAAATAAAAAAGAAGAAACAAATAAGAAAAGTAAGTCATTATATATGCAATGATCATGTGAATATGCACCATTAGTGTGCATTCCTGAAACACTTTCTGACATCTTGGCATGTTTATGTTGTTTACTTAGGCATCTTATCAAACATGGCGGGAGGATTTCAATCGGTACCCATGGCCCTTGGTTACTCGCGTTAAAAGATGTTGGGACAGGCTAAAAGAGTGGCTAGCCATAAATTTCCCTGAAGTCTTGTCTACATTGCGTAAAGGTGCATCTGAGGAAGAAATACTGGAGTTGGAGAAGAGTTTGAAAGTAAAACTGCCTCTACCTACTAGGGTTCTCTACCGGTTTTATGATGGTCAAGAACTATCAAGTGAGGAGTCCAGTGGGAGCGTGCCTGGGAATTTATTAGGTCTCATGGGAGGTTACTCCTTTTATGACCATCTGGTGAATGTATCTTTGTTGCCTTTACATCAAATGATAATAGAAACTAAAGAAACTATCAGACATATCGGACTCGGCAATCGATCTAAGTATGTTGTTGTAGCGGCTTCTTGTGGTTACAATGAAAAGGTTTTCTTTCTGAACTGTTCCACTGGTCAACTTAATGTTGGTACAAGGAATCTCACAACTGACGGAGAAATGATTCCTTGTGTACCGAGTGCCTTGATAAGTTCAGTGCATAATGTAAAAGGAACTCAACCCCAAGATGCCATGCTGTTGTGGCTAGAGGAACATGTCCGTCGCTTGCAACATGGAGTGATCAAAGTCCGTAAAGAAGGAAAAGTGAGAAGTATCAGTCTTTTTCCAGAAGTACCTCCACTTTGTTCTCTTGCTGTTACAAATGGTGTAAAGGTAATTGTTCTGATACCACGGAGCAAATAAAATGAACATTGTTCTTGTCAGTTGTTTCTGGTTTTAATTCCATTCTGTAGACTAGACTGATAGTTAAATCATGTCAGGTCCGCGCTTCTTCTGTGTTTGTCCCAGAGCTCAGTACCATTCAAGATGATTATGAGAAGTTTTTTTTTGCTTATTCTATCCGCATGTCTCTTTCACCTGAAGGATGCATAATGAATGGGATGACCTTCAATTCCTGCCAACTATATCGTAGACATTGGATCATCCGCTGCAATGATAATATTGTAGATGATGTAAATGGAGAAGCGGTGATAGGAAAGGTATCATTTTTGTTAAGTTTTTTGATGAGGAAACCACCCTTATTAATTAAAACGTTGAGCTTCTGCTTTTGATCATGTTTCTTTCAACTGTTAGCTTGTTAGCAAGTTCTTCGTTAAATAGTTTCAAAAAAAGCTTGTTAGCAAGTTCTTAGTGGGCACCTCTCTCATGTGAAATGCCAGTATATTGTTTTTTCTTTTCCAAAGACAACAAAGAATCTACTGCCACTTGGGATCTTCTATTTTGTTTTTCGCTCAAGCTAAAGAAATAATAATGATTTGCTTTTTTTCTGAAATGGAAAACAAAACTTGCTGGAAAGAAATAATAGACGAGATGATATTCTTGTTGATCAGATTACATAAAGGACTCATTCAAATAATATTTCTGTAATAACCTAGTTATATAGCTATCTTTATTTTGGGGAAGGATGGTTATGAATTAGCCTCTTTGCTCTTCTGCTGTCAAACTACAGAAGCTGTAGAAATGATGGAAAAACAGCCCTAAAAGAGACATCTTCATCAAAAAAAAAAAAAGACATCCCTAAAAGAGACATACCAGCTCTCATGAAGTGTAGGAGTTCAGGCTTTCATAACCGGGGTTTATGGAATTACAGATAATATAGTTATGATAAGACTGATAAATAGGTTTTATTTGTTCAATAAGTTTCTTTGGTTTTCTTTTAGATAAGAAAGGAAGCTACTAGGGAAAAATGTATTTTTTTTAATGCCTGGAACGTCATAGCAAATGATACTTCTCTAGTTGAGGCTGAAATTTATGTGGTCTTTTCAGTTCATGACGAAAATGGATGTGCTCAAGTCAGTTGGGAAGTATCTTTACATTGATCTAATAAATCAGTTCAGTTGTGTTAAACTTAAAGAAATATGGAAACTAGATATTGCTTTGATACAGAGAGAGAGAGAGGGAAAAGCATTTTAAGCTAGCTGTCAAATATTTACTTTTATGGCCCAAAATCTGAAGTTCTGGTGGATCTCTTTCTTGACAGCATGTCAAAGTCCTCAAAGTTCTATGTCAAACTTCTGCCGAATAAATTAACTCAACTTTAATATCAATGAACTCCTCCCTTGATGAACAGCTCCAGGCTCTTTTCCTTCCCCAGTAGCCAGGGGTGGAAAATGGTGGGGGATGATTGAAGGGTTATTGG